CTACTATCTATAAACATAATACAATAGCATTTAATATTAATGTAATAAACTACAAGAAAATTATTCATCCCTAAGACTGAGTAATTTAAAATATACTAGGTTAGGTTGTGCTATATCATGTTATGTTTTTGCATTTGATGATGTTATAATAACAGACTTAATAGAATGAAACGTTTGAATTATTATTAATTTTTAAAAAGCCCCTTTAAGCTATTTCTTCAGAATCCTAAAAATGTGGATTTATCTGCATTACCATTAGTGGCACTCTGATGGAAATATCTGGGAAGCTGTGTCTCTGATGGTTCATATTTTTATCTAAGAGAGAAGGTTGCCTAAGGGGAAATCACAGTTCTCTGACGTTAGTGCCTCATACCTCTTTTCTTCAAAATTTTAACCATTCTTTGGGCTCTGGAAGACTGATGCTGAAAAGTAAAAAAGAACGAGTAATTCTAGAATTCATATACTCTTTATTTGATTCATGATGAAGTGATGAAGTAAAACAGGAATAGTATTAATTACAGAGTATATCTGTTTATGCTATGGCTTGGAATTATTTTTTCTCAAAAAAGTTGAATTATCTATATTGTCACAGGTTCTTAAAGTGTTAAATATAAATTATCTAATATATATTAGTAGCAATCATAAGGTCTGTAAATTATTACAGACATTTCTGGTGTTGTGAATGAATATCTTATAGCAGAGACTTGAAAGCATAGTTAAGCATAAAGGAAAAATGTATCCAACTAAATAATAACATTCATGCCATCAGTTGTCAGGATTGAAAAGTTAAACAGGTGGCATCCGAGTGTATTCACATAGAAATTGTTGCCACATTTTGCTTATTTTGCTTCTCTCTCTACCTCTTGCTCTCTTGCTATCTCTCAGATTTTCCAAGATCTATAGATCCCATATTGATTGGTAAGAGGACAATCTCTCCAGTCTTATTTTTAATTTCTAGCCTTTTTATAAAAACATGCCCTTGTCCCTCTTTGGACATGGGGAAAAGAAGAGTAATGTGTATTAATTTTACTCATTTTTAACACATTTTTGAAAAAAATTTATTAAAATTTAATTTACATATTATAAAATTTGCTCACTTGGAAAGTTAATTTCTGGAACTTCTAGATACTTCTGAGTATCCAACATATTGTGTGTAGGCATTATAATTATAGAATTTTTATACCACTTTTATTACACAAGTAAAACTGTTTTTTATATTTACTTATTTGTTGCTTTTCTGTAAATTAGAAGCTTTTCTTCTGATTTATAATGGTTTACCATTCATTGCTAAGGCCAGAATTTGTATTTTTCTCTCAATGCTTTTCTTTTTTTGCTTTGGATTATTAATAAAAGTTCTTAATATTTTTAAATAATTGAAAATATTTAGAATTATCTTCTTTGATTTTATTGCTTTTAATAGATCAAAAAATAGCTCAACATACATTCCAAAAAATTGCAAACAGTTAGAAATACCCAGCATTTTTCATTTCCTGTATCAATACTATATATTTACCTTTTATGTATCTAAAAATTATGTTTGAAATATACACACCTCCATCTGACTAAAGCCAGTATCAATTAGTTAACATATTCTTAAACACACATACTCTAATATTGATATTACTTTAAATTAATCAAATATAATCATGTGCTTTTTTGTAATTCTTAAAAAAACATCAATTTTTACTATAAAATGAAATCTATAATGCCTTGATAGGCACACACAGCCTTTTGTGAGTTGCATTCTTTCTACCATTCTAGATTCACTTGCTATGGGCTCTCCACATATACTCCTTTATGAGTTGTAAGAAGCAATTTACTTTGACTGAATTAATTGTAGCTCCTGTGTTTAATAAAACTTTTCAGTTTCTCTATCAACTTAGCTGGTAGGTACTATCAACAGCAGCCACTCGAGGCCCAGACAAAACATAACAACAAGGGATCCACTGGCATAAGTCCCTTCAAGAAGCCTCCCCATCACGGGAGGTCAGGGAGCACAGGCAGAGAAGAAAAAGAGGAAAGCATAGTCATTGTCAGTATATACTGCCGAATAGGGTGTGAGTTACCTTAAGTTCATAGATGCCTGAGTTGTCCATTTAAGGGAAACCTCAGGAAAGAGAGGAGCTCAGTATCCTAGGGTAGAGAGATGTCTCTAAGTTCTTATCTCCGGCCACCAGCTACTGCCATTTGGATGAGATGTAGAACTGAAACTGTGTCAAGGGTGACTGAGTCCTGCCTCTGGCAAGAGAAAGCTAAACCAACATTTAAATTGCATGTCAAGGCAACATGTAATTGGAAGCATTCACTATACATCACATACCTTGAAACCATTTTATGTGCAATTTTCTCTTTTGGAAATACCATATTTTTAGTTCACTGGATTCCTCACCATTTTAGATAAGTATACGTTCGCTAAGACCCTTAGCCTATTAGATGTCTTTTTCTGTGCTTCCACAGCACGCTGTTTCTACCTCTAGAACTGCTAACACAATGATGCTAAAAATGTTAATGTTGTCATCTCTAATATCCACAGTACATAAAAGCATGTAAACAACTATGCATCACATCAGTAGTTAATAAATCTTTGCTATTGACTGCATAAATTCATAAATGAATTATCCACCAACATAATAATCATCTTAGGTATAAAATATATAAAAGCTTATATTTACAAAATGTGGGATTTGTGTATTACCTAGTTTTAAACATCCTTATAATCTAATTTGAAAGATAAGGAAACTGAAGCAAATTGATATTAAACCCTTGGCTAAGACATATAAACAGCAGAAAAAGAAGCTGGAATATAAATACAAGAAGATAGAAAAGCATGCACAGACAGATATCGTTAAATACATGGATTTCTTTATAGCAATTAGAAAAAAAAAGAACCAAAATAAATTTTAATCATATATTCCCCCTTTTTCAAAAAAGTTTCTCAAAATGTAAATTTCAACAGGCACTAAAACATTCCAATTAAATCTTGCACTCTTTACCTGATTTAGCTAGTTTTTAGTTCATATGAATCTAAATTAAGTCACAAATGCCTTCGCTACTTATTTAACACAGTGGAATAATTTATTTGGATTACTCTTCAGTTTTGTATATTATCTCTTAAACCTGACACAAATTCTTAGGTCTCACCTAATTTTCTAAATATAAAGTAAACGTTTAAAGTATCACATTAAAGAAGGCTGGAAGGCAGGTTTCAAAGTTTTCTCTCCATGATCCCTACCACCTGGTGTTCATGCCCTTGTGTGGGGCTGGATCTAGTTACTTCTAACCAATAGAACAAAACAAAGGTGATTGAATGCCTCTTCTCTGATAAGATTACAAAACATTTTGACGACATCTCTTTAGAAGACTCTTGCTGACTTTGATGAGCACTCTGCCACTTTGCAGAAGTCTACATGATAAAGAACTGTGAGGAAGTGAAAGCTGCCAGCCACTATTGAGTGAACTTGAAAAGTACAGCCTTCACCACTTGAGGATTCAGATGAAAGTACAGACTGTAAGCCAATACCTTTATTGCAGTCTTGTGAGTGACTGTAAAGCAGAGGACCCAGCTTAGCAATGTGCAGATTCCTGACTCACAGGAAGAAGTTATGGGAAAAGAAATGTGTGTTTGTGTGTTGCTTTAAATGATCATGTGGCAGTTGTTGTATGCAATAGATAACAAATGTAAGAGGGTACTCACTCAAATTTGTATACACAGACAGATAAAATTGCTTCCTGAAGGGATCTGGTGTGGTTGCTTAATGCTAAGACCCATAGCCACTAGAAAATAAAAGAACTGAAATAAATTTTAATCATATATTTGCCCTTTGAATAAGCCTTTTCAATTTAATTCAGTCCAAAATGTAATCATCTTGGGTAGCATAACTTTCATTGTGTACTTCACTTACAATCATAAGGTATAAATAATTAGGCTTTATTTACTTTATAAATTTTAGGTTTTATATAAAACAACCTAGGTTATAGTTCCATTCATATCTTCTAACTAAGCATAATTAATTCAAATTCCAGTTAAAGTCCTGTATACAAATAAATTTCAGTAATAAAATTTGTTATTTTATGGGGATTCTCATTTTAAAAATAAATTACAAATGTCAGGCTGTTATCCCCTATGCTAAGTTTTCCTCAACATAAGTAAAAGAGAAAGGAACCTAATATTTTGGTTTTTGGTATTTGTTATGTATTAGACATTTACATAAATCATCTCATTTAATACTAAGAACATTTTTTGAGCAAAGGTAAGTTTGAATTTAAGCATACATTGCATCAGACAGTTCTGACTTTCAAACTATTCTTTGGCTTAAAAAAATGAATAGAGAATCAGGGCCCTCATTCTACCACTTTAAACACGATTTTCGTCTCTAGAGGATTAAAGTGACTACTGACAGTAATCACATACAGTAACCTATAAACAGATTTTGTGATGTAGGGATATTAAGTTATTTTATGAAAGTGAAAAACAAAAACAAAAAGACATAATTTTGATACCTCCCAAAAGAAGTAAAAATAAAGTAACTCTGAACTTTAGGCAATGCTTAAGATTCTTATTTGCAATGCAATTTAAACAATTTTCTGAACTTTATATGGAACATTAATTATACAGTTCAAGATGAGTATTGCAGTGGATTGAATCAGATTCCACAGTGTGATATCTGAAAGTATTTGGCCATGAATGAATAATTTGACCTCCATGCTGTATGACACTCTGGTGTCTGGTTCAGTGGTTTACAAGTATGATAAAACAGAAAGGGGTTAGACAAGTTCATTATTTAGGCCGTTTTTTTGCTTATACTTTAATTGATAATCTGAATTTTATTCACATCACTGATAAAAGTTACTTAAATATTTTTCTATCCAAACTTGTGAACCAATCATTGTTCTGCTTTCTCTGTGAAAACTGGAAATTATTGAAGCATTGAATGCAAGTATTTAAAGAGCCACTCCACTAGCTTAATGAAGTAATCTTAATACATATCTTCATTTTACAGCTTAAGAAAACTGCAGAAATGCTGTGGCCCAGAGCGACCTCCCGAGAAGCCATGGAAACATGACAGCGGTGCGGCGGACTTGGAGTGGGTCACCGACTATGCAGAGGAGAAGGAGATCCAGAGTTCCAATCTGGAGACGGCCATGTCTGTGATTGGAGACAGAAGGTCCCGGGAGCAGAAAGCCAAACAGGAGCGGGAGAAAGAACTGGCAAAAGTCACTATCAAGAAGGAAGATCTGGAACTGATAATGACTGAGATGGAGATATCTCAAGCAGCAGCAGAACGCAGCTTGCGGGAACACATGGGCAATGTGGTAGAGGCGCTTATTGCCCTAACCAACTGATGCGTGCTTTCTTAGATATACCTACTGGATTAATTTATGGCAAATTTTTTTTGGTCTTTAAAAAAAAAAAAAGAGGGACCGTGTGCTGTGTCGCGCGCAGTTAGGCAGCAGCCCGTGGAGCTGTAGCCGTCATGGGAGTGAGCCATGAAGCACTACGAGGTGGAGATTCTGGATGCAAAGACAAGGGAGAAGCTGTGTTTCCTGGACAAGGTGGAGCCCCATGCCACCATTGCGGAGATCAAGAACCTCTTCACCAAGACCCACCTGCAGTGGTACCCCGCCCGCCAGTCCCTCCGCCTGGACCCCAAGGGCAAGTCCCTGAAGGATGAGGATGTTCTGCAGAAGCTGCCTGTGGGCACCACGGCGACATTCTACTTCCGGGACCTGGGGGCCCAGATCAGCTGGGTGACGGTCTTCCTAACAGAGTATGCGGGACCCCTTTTCATCTACCTGCTCTTTTACTTCCGAGTGCCCTTCATCTATGGCCACAAATATGACTTCACGTCCAGCCGGCACACAGTGGTGCACCTCGCCTGCATCTGCCACTCATTCCACTATGTCAAGCGCCTGCTGGAGACGCTCTTCGTGCACCGTTTCTCCCATGGCACCATGCCTTTGCGCAACATCTTCAAGAATTGCACCTACTACTGGGGCTTTGCTGCGTGGATGGCCTATTACATCAACCACCCTCTCTACATGCCACCTACCTACGGTGCTCAGCAGGTGAAGCTGGCATCGCCATCTTTGTGATTTGCCAGCTTGGCAACTCCTCCATCCACATGGCCCTGCAGGACCTGCGGCCCACTGGGTCCAAGACTCGGAAGATCCCGTACCCCACCAAGAACCCCTTCACGTGGCTTTTCCTGCTGGTGTCCTGCCCCAACTACACCTACGAGGTGGGGTCCTGGATCGGCTTTGCCATCATGACGCAGTGTCTCCCAGTGGCCTTGTTCTCCCTGGTAGGCTTCACACAGATGACCACCTGGGCCAAGGGCAAGCACTGCAGCTACCTGAAAGAGTTCCGGGACTACCCGCCCCTGCGCATGCCCATCATCCCCTTCCTGCTCTGAGCGTTCACCCCTGCCTGGGCTCAGTCCCCACCCCGGGGGCATCCCAGGGTAGGGGCGGGGCTCACAGTTCTCCAGCACCTGGAATAAAACCCACCTGCCCCAGATGAGAAAAAAAAAAAAAAAAAAAAAAAAAAAAAAAAAAAAAAAAAAAAAAAACTCTTACGAAATAGGAAGAAATAGTAGGTGGGGTGCTGGACTGTATTTTTTCTTTGATAGTTGGGTTAAGGTGAATCTCTAAGTCCTACAAATTAGGGGAAAAAAAATCTTTAAAATAAGTTCCTGAAAAGTTACCTTTACTTAATTCTACTCCTTCAGGATTAGCACTTGAGGTAGTTTTTTTCCTCAACCTTCTTTACATTTTTATGTAGTCTCCCTACAGATCTGGACTTTAACCTTCCCATACACACATGAGGATCATTCTGAAATCCCTAACTCCAGTTCCAACTTCTCTGCTGATCTTCATGTTCACCTTCACAGCAGCATCTCCACCAACCATCCGGAAAGCACCTCAAAGTCATAGATAACCTTTATTATTTGCTACATTCCTGCCCCAAAAAACTAATACAATAGGTCAAAAAGTTGTTAGTTTCTTTATTGACCATTTGTATATCATCTAATTGAAATGTCTTTCAAGTCTGTTGCCAGTTTTTCTTTTCTTTTTTAAATACATATTTGATGTACTATGTTGCCAATTGTTCTACAGAGTAATCTGTTAGTTCTAGCATAGCCTCCACAGCCTGTATAGACAGTCTTTTCATAATAATTGAGTGTATCTCCCATTGAACCAGGGGGTACTATATCTTTTTCTTTGTAAGCCAGATATCAAGCATAATACTGACACAAAATATGTCAAAATCCATAATAAAATATTCATTAAATAATATAAACAAACAATTCATAAGTACACAATTATAAAGTGAATACTAACTGTTCAGTTTTCCTGTCTCTGTTAAAAATGGATCTAAATGAACTTCCAAAGGAGAACTTAGCAAAATTTCTGATTTCATTAGAATAGATGATCACAACAATACTGAGCCCCAGTGGTAAGCCTGCTGATATAATCCAACCAGTATTGGCTCCCTTTCCTTCTGTCTCAGTTCCCCATTCTTCTACTGATGCTTGGCTAGAATTGCCTTCCAAACAACTTATGCTCTAATCTTAGCCTCAGGGAAGCCCACAAAGAGGAAAAAAAAAAAAAAAAAAAAAAGAAATGCTGTGAATTTTCTAGGAATAAATAGCCCTAAAATTAGTGCTATAATTTACCTGTATCATCTAAGCATTCATGCTTAATGATACCTATTAATATATATTTATTGTAAGTTAAGATTCTCTTGTCTTAAGAAACATTGTTAAATCTTAAATTTTGAAAACTGAATTTTGAATCATGAATATAGAAATTATTCTCAAGCTTTTCAAGTGAAAAAATATTATTTAAGTAGAGATCTTCAAATTAGTCAATATATTTCTTAGGTGTGAGAATCAGACGTTCGAAATGCTTAAGTAGTTATGGGATTCAGAATTCTCCAGAAGCACATCCATAGATGTTGAAGAAGCAGGACCCAATCATTACTACTTAATGAAAATCATTTCAGGAGAATGTATATGAAAAGATAGGAAAATTTGGCCTGGGCTAATCTTTTCTGGAGGCAGTATCTGATTCCCTTCTAAGGCTAATGAAATGTAACTGCTTGTCCATGCTCTTCATCTTTTCTTATCTCTAGGACTTCATGGGTACCACTATTGTAGGATTTCACAATTTTTTTTGTCAAATACACAAAAAAATGAATGAACCTGGTGTTGGCAATTAGGTACATTCTACAGCCTTTTCTAAAAACCTCTCCAAATCTTTTCCCCAACGCATTGATTTTATATTAATCTAGAGTTTACCGTAACTATAGCAAAATACTTCCATTCTTTTGTTGTGACCGAATCAAATCATGACATTACCTTATCTTAGGTAATATATAAAACAAATAAAAATTTGCCTTAATGAACAGGTGATATTTAAACTTTTCTGAAAATTACCTTTAGAAAATGCATTATGATTATTAACTTGTCCTATGAGAGAAAACTTCTGTGTGTTGGTGGGGCTTGGGAAGTTGGCCAAGGAATCAAAAGCCAGCTTCAACAATCTTATGTAATCAGCAACCTCCAGGGGGCTACCTAGGAAGCAGTTGAGCATTATTGCTTTGTGCAGTGGTAGTCTCACAGTGCTATATTCCCAGCACTATTCCCATCACATAAGACCATAAAGATAATTGGATCTTACACACAACTTCCTAGGTCCAAGTTTCTCTATATGCAGAATGTGGTTATTAGTTCTATGTTTTCTCACAGAGCCGCTTTGCATGTTAATGAGATCATGACTACTGCTTCCTTCGAGTTCTTTGAACTAAGGAACTCTATACATAAAAGACGCTATTATTTCACTGCTCTTGTTACTCACTAAAGGAATAGTTCCTGAAAATACAGCCTTTCACTTGCTCTGTGTGTAAAATCTCTGCTGCCTGCAATGGGAGGGCTTATACGATATAATTACAGGAATCTGCCTGTTCTGTAGAGTATTGTACAGTAGCGTTCCAAATCGTTTCTAAAGAAAAGAGATGCTAACATCCACCCACACTTCATCAAACACTGGTAATGCAAAACACTGACTCCAGATGTCCACAGCTTGCTTCCAAAAAAGCCTCGTCTCAGGGAACTCTGAAGTATAAATGTTAAAAAATGGTCCCTGAAATGTGAGTATTAGGGCTTCATCACTAACTCCATGAATACTTTTTGGATTCTTGATGACATTTTCATCTACATTTTGTTTTAGGAGCTTTCTTTTTGTACTCTTTTGAATATAGAGAGATTAACAACACTGGCAGTGCAATTAATCTTGACAGGCCTAAGAGCTTTCCCTCCCATTTCCCTATTTTTCATCAGTTTATAAAAGACTAAATTGGTGATGAATAGAGACAAAACCATAATACTTATTCACGCAGTTTTCGGCATCTACAGTACTATTACAATACATAATGAATGCATTTTATTAAAGTAATTTAGGTAAAGTATCAGAGTATAATTTAGCAATGGGCAAATAGATGATGTAGAGAGGACTTTTTTTAAAATCATGTAACACTAAATATGGGAGCATGCCGTAAGACACAAGTTTGAAATTATTTTAATTTCGTATATTCTACTATTAGCAATACATCATAGCATTGTGTTAATATTTTTCTTTAAATAGGATTCGTTAAAATATTAAATGATATTATTGATATTCATTTATTTGCATTACTTCAGTTTTCAGAAATATCTGACCAGAATTTATGTGTTCTTACTATACCAATTATTGGCTTAAGTATTCTAAGAAGGCCTTCCTTTATCATCATAATTTCAACATTTTTCCATAGTTTTTAATATTTTGAATATAATATCAGTTATAGTCAGTCTTATAATATGCATTATATAATATGTTACAGTTTTCCTTGTAGTTCATTCATATCTGGGCCTATTGAAAAATACAAGGCATTAGCGTTCTGAAATCAGTTTCTAAGTAAGACAGCTGAGTAGCCCACATTCGGTTCTCCAGCTTCTTATCTTTATACTAAAAACTATTTTAATGTACACAGAAACTAAGTGAGAATTATTAGGAAGTTACAGAAACTAAGATAATATTTAATCCACCATTCATAAATATATGGATTAGTGTCGCATCTTCTTAGTGTTCTATGAAAATATCCATATTGTCCTTCTTTATTTTGTGCAATCTGTTTTTGTGTATCTGCTTATCTACATCTCTCTTCTTTCTAAAACTATTTCAAACATATTATAATGTTTCAATATTATAAATATTTATTAATGTAAAAATTAACTAAACTTTTACCTCACTTCACGGTCTTCAAAATAATCAGTGAATGATTAAAGATCACAAATTCCAAATTTTTGTAATGTCTCTGTTAACATATATATATATACAAACAATATAAAAATAATATAAATGTATGTATGTCTTCATGCACATTTTAGATCCATGGTCATAATACATTGCCCAGACAGAAAAATGTTTCCCAGATTAAGATTATTGAAATATTTGTATTTGGTGTGAGTGTGTGCATACATGAACACATATTTGCTTATTGTACATGCATTTTTTTAAAAAAGTATTTTATTAGTGGTTCAGTGGTTTTATTAGCATTTTATTAGTATTTTTCAGTGGTTCAGTTTCCTCCAGATAATCAACAGGCAACGATTGATTACATGTAATACAAAGGATGTCCAAATATTAATGTGATATTTTCCATCAAAGGATACAACTATTGGTCAAGTTTCAAAAAAATGGTGCTTTCTTGTATAAATAAACTGTTATTGACATAACAGTAAAATTAGAGAAATAAGATGCATAACTTTAGATCTGATATTCTTCTAAATTGGTAATATTTTAGTCTGCATGTTAAGTATTATTTTAAAAATAATTTATATTGTTATCCTGAATAAAAAAATAATATAAAATCCATACATTTCAGCAATTCTAAAGGCATTTTGGAAATGCCAAATGGGCCTCTGCCCCATTGATATGAAATGTCATATATATATATATATATATATATATATATATATGCATTGAACTAAGAAACTCTATAAGTAAAAGATGCTATTATTTCACCGCTCTTGTTACTCACTAAAGAAATAGTTAACATATGCATCCTATACTAATTATTGGCTTAAGTATTCTAAGAAGGCCTTTCTTTATCACCATAATTTCAACATATATATACAATAATTTATATTTTATATTGCATAGATATATGCTATTTTAGTGAAATATTTCTATAATGTGCGTATATATATTCAAATCATGCATGTCTATCTTATTCTCACACATTTTCGCTTTTTTATGTGAGTATGTTTACTATATACTCCCAAGATTTTGGCCTTTGCCTCAACTGTAGCTGTATCAGAATAACAAGAGCGCTGCACTGATTTTCACATAAACCAAACTTTGGAATTATTCT